TTGAGGGATCATGCGTGCGCCAGTGCGCTAATATTATGCATTTCTGGATTGACTTTTAATCAAAGGCACAGTTCACAATACAAATGGCTTCTGAGTTCTCCTCCTAAGAATACCCAGTGGCCCTCAAGGGTAATAGGAAGGATGCTGTCGAGTCCCAAAAACTCAACAGCTAGGGCATAGTGGGAGCCCCGTTACCGATCGCCCGAACTTCCCGCCCCTCGATCGATGTCACGTCAGACGAGTGTCGAGGCGACTGCAATATTCGCTCTATGACCCATACACAGTCAACTGATGGTCGAGTAATCAGGCGATGTTTTTCTGCTATTCCTTTATTCTCTGATATTCTTTTTGCTGCTGCGATCCCTTGTTTAATTTTCTACCACTAAAGGCTGAAAAAGGTGGGCTATTTCTGCTGTTACTGGAGTTTTTTTTTGTTAACTTATGCTTACTAGTGAATGAATTTTTACTTATCGTAGTTAGCTATTTGCACCAGGGCCCACGCGCACGCAATGACACACACTGTATAGCTCGTCCGATCGCTCCATTCTTCTTCATTTTCTGGTCTCATTCTCGTCCAGCCCCTCGTCCAGCCCCTCTTAACGATTTTTCAAAGCCTTTTTCCATTTTTCACTGACCCACGCAGTTTGTACGCCTTCATCGCACTATTTGCCATCTTATCTTCCTTTTTTTCGTTATAATTTGTATTACCAAAAATTATCGTGAACTGTGCCTTTGAGAGATTGTCCTACTCTCCTGCACCCTGAGGAAATAACCAAGTATTATACAACTCATTACAGCTCGAAAAGTTCGTATCGGCAGGAAAAAAGAAGACGGACCTAATCGGAGTCGTCTTCGCTAGTGCAACGGTAAACTTACGATTTTATAAAACTCCAATACGATTTGTGCAGTCATAATAAATCTTCACTTCATATTTAGTTCATGTAGACTACCTTGCAAAAGAGCTTCAGAGAAAAGAGCTATTAAAGTGACACACGTTGAGTCGTGGGTATTGGATGCTACACCTTCGCTGTCAACTCGAAAAACTTAAGTATAGCAATCGGAAAAATGTAAATGCAAAAGCTGCTCCAGCTACGACTGTGATAATCCTCTTACTGTCACCATACACGAGTTTGGCACCAACAACCAAATTTGGCTTCTTTTTACTAACAGCGGGATGTTGGTGCTCCTTGAAAAGATTAGCGATAGTTGAAGATTTTCGTCGGAATTAAGCAAACACAATTCCAGATCTTGGGATTCAAAGGAAGGGATATGAAGCATAACCAGCCTAGGTAGTAGAACGCAAACATGTGAGCAAACTATCGAACCGAGCCATTGTGCCATCTCTATAAGCCGATGAATAATTTTCAGGTAAACAATTGCCTACACCGTTTCTTACGGTAGCAAGTCCATTATGTCATGTTCTCATCAACTTCCCCTCCTGTGCTGTCAGTTTTTGCAGTTGTCACCTGTCAGCTCAACTGCTACTCCCCTTGATGTCACTCACATAGACAGAAATTTTCACATTCCATACTTTGACCGAAAACAACAAGCTATTATCTCTTAGTTTGGCATCTCTTGGTTGTTGAAGCTGACCATCATGAGATTTCTTCAACGTGAATGAATCAGCAAGCCTTCGTAAAAAGATCGCCACTTCACTGACAATGAGTTACTAAAACTGACTGTCATCATCCATATAAACCGGCCTNCTTGTGGAGTGCGCCCCGCTTTCGGCTCTAATTTAGCGTAGTGGGGGCTTGTATGCGTATGTGGCCTACACAATGCCTTATGGCGGTCAGTCTATATATAAGTCAGCGTATCAAGGCAAGATCATTGAAGTTGATGATCCGCACGATAGAACATAACACTTTTCAATTCTCAGCATGATCCAAGTCGAGCGACTAAGCCAACGTTTACTGTAATGAGTCGTCACTATGTTTCCCCCAGCGGCCGCCGTCCTTTCACAATCGTCTGTTGAAGGCGATAGCTTATTGATATCAATTATTTCTACACTGTGAAAAATTTTTTGCAGAAAATTTGCTCTTTGCGAAGCTGGCAGTACAAACTCAATTAATAATTCAATTCTGACTTTACATGGATCCTCAAAAACTGCTTAAAGGCAAACCTCATACATGAATGTTAGAGGACAAAATATTCAGCGTCAATTATTCCTTTTCAAGATGCGACATTGCAGTCAACTTCCATTCAGAATCGAAGTGACGTTTTTGAATTCGCATGTGGCTTATAAGACGAAATGCGGTGCGCGGCCTATGTACAAGTCAGTGGACGGATTACGCCGATGAAAGTTGATGAAAGGGTTGAGGTTGAGATCACGTAGGATGGTAGAATTAAGGCTTCACGCAAACTTTGAATAGCTATGTCCTATAAACATTTGGTTTGAATGCTTTTAGTGGTTATCTAAGTGATATACATATGAGACCTCTTCTCAACACGGACCCAACTCCAAAAACAAGCAATTGGTATGTGTTAATCATCAACCTTGCAGCTGAACATATTTCCCCACATTTTTCGACAGGCTTCATTATATAGCCCAAATAAAGAGAATGTGTGACAGCTGTCAAAGCAATAGGCTATTATTCTTCCACTGAGACTTCCGATAACCGTTCACTTCAGTCTTAGTTACCATTCTCGGAAGCCCTATGCTCTAGGAACCATCGATGAATTCTCGATGGCGAAAAATTTCCTCCGTCTTTATGAATTACTATTTTATGTGAAAAGCTCTGAAGCCCCTTAACCACTAATTTTCTCACCTACGCCTTTTCCATTAGCTCCCGGCTAACATTTTAAACAAGTCAGCCCATGAATTCATCCATTAAGTACGAAAGTTTCTGACGCTAATCAATGCTCTGGGTGAGATGCTCCCAAACATTCTACTCCATCCAGAACCGAGATATGTTATGAATGTGGATTTTCGGCCTATGCACTGAATACCGGGGACCAGCAGGGTGGCGAGCCTGTGGCTTTGTCACGCAACAGCTGCTGCGTACTTATTTTTGCTTCTTCAAAAACTTAGGTGAGCGGCACTGAGAGCTTCAACAAAAGCGCATTTCTTTGAGCGAGAGTTCTTTCACTGCATACCAACGGAAAGCCTTTAGGTCATGTAACTTGATACGTTACCCATTGGTATGTGGCAAAAACGTACACCTAACAGGCCCTCAGACATGACGAAATTTTCCAACCCTAGCATCAGGTATTGTGAGCTTATTACTAGTCAGGCACCGCCGGTTTATGGTACGAGCTCCTATCCGCTCACAGCGGGGCTATTCTTACTGGCTATATCTCTGTTATTGTTAGTTGTCTCCATATGCGGCATGATTTCCAAGATTCTTGATGTCATCACAGACACTGTTCATCATTTACCCATTACCTCACAGCGTTCCTATCACTGTTACTTATATTCTGAGGAAATGTTGCAGAAAAAGTTCTATAATAAGTAAGCGTACCTCACAGACGAACAGATGGCCTCACTTTGTAGTGCTTCACCTCGATCATTGCTATCGTACTGTAGTGTTAGCTTCATCATAATCGACGTCCTCGGTTCAACTGATCCACCACTGTTGTGCGACAACTAGAACCAGTTCTAGACCATGGCCTCACAAAAAATCCCAGTTCGGTAATTTGTACGTTCTTTATTGTACGATACTAATGCTTACCTTCCAAAAAATGCTGGGTCTCGGACCATTATACATTTCCACAACTTCATACCTCTTTGCTCCCGCAAACTGAGTCGAATCGTAAAAGTAAAGGAATCTGAAATTGAAAATCATCTATGAGCAAGGTTTGTTTTAACAAACGCAAGCCATGAAAACACAAAGTCTAATACTAAAACCAGCCGAGTTTCTAATGAACACAATTAAATCTCTCCGCCGGCTGCCGTTCGAATTACTGTCACGCGCGCGAATATTTGAATATTCCATAGAGGGCCCTTGGAGCACATTATGTCCTCAAGATTGCAACTGCACAAATGTCCATATGTGTCCCTGTATGTTCAAGGTAACCTTTTCCCACAACAGTCCGGGTATGGTCAAATGGGTCGGTCCTAGTCTACCTATTCGATGTGTACTCTAATGATTCAGTTAAACAACAAAGGTGAGGAAGGGTCTTCCCAATGCTATTGAGTACCAATTGTCAGCAGGAATTATCTTTTGCCTTTACTTCAAGGTGGTCCCACTTTCTCCATTTTTTAAAGTTTTTCTTTATAGGGGAATGGGTGAACACATAAATACCACAAATGGGGCAATATGTAATCCGTTCTAATGATGCTTTCGTTCTAATACGATTCACATAGTCTCACCCTCATGTTTCAGTAGTTACTGTAGCAATATAGTAGGCTTCTAGATCTTTCATACCAACTCTAGCAATGCTGTTAAGCGATTGATCTCCGATATTAACGAAAATCGAATTTAAGATCAGTATGCGCCGCTACAATATCTTCCTCAAACACTCCCTCGGCTCGGTAAAATGGAATAGGGACTGGAGAGGGAAACAACAGCCTCTTTTTGAATATCGCCTGGTGATTCCGTTGAGTGCAGTATATGCTGCGCCGGCTTCAAGACCGTTACTTTTTTCCTATTCAGGCATTCGCGCGCAGTAAAGTACTTCAAATGGCCGACGAGGTAGACATATATCTGAAAGAGATTCACTAACCTCCGGATGTGGAGAGCTCTCTGCATTCGCTGTGGAAATGGTTGGCTTTCATAGTCCGCGATGTGTAGTGAACGACGGGCGCTGGGCGATGTTGCCGCGGCAGCTCAGCGGGCGGCGATCGATATCACGTGCTCGCTGCCTGACGCCAAAAATAGACGCGCTCAAGCGTCCCATCGCCTGTCCTTGGTCTTCTATGAAGTGATTAGTAATCGTTATCACATTGAATGCTGCCCATTCGATTGATTGTTGGCCAGAGGTAGCTCCCGGTGACGTTTCAACGATGTTTCGACGAGGACGATATGGAGGATAACGTTTCACATCCCTGTTCCATAGCGCTACAACAGGTTGGAGAACGATTCGGTATAAAATCGTCAGATCACTCCTAAGAAGAGCTGCCGATACGAATTTTAAGGTTTCTAAAGATCATTCTTCGTCTTTCTAAGTTTTGTTTACTCTTCTATTCAGTTGCATGCGTACATAAATGCTGTTCTCAAAGCGATGTAGACATGTACCGCAAAGTTTCTTACAGGATATAAACAAAGGTACGTCTTTCACTAGCTACGCACTGGTTTTGTATGTTGACATCACACCAAAGTTCAATTCTCATACCGTAATAGCAAATGTTCGCGATCCAGGCGTTCGATACATACGCTTACTTGATTCAAATTTCAAGTCTGTTTCAATGTCTGCCTTCAAAAAGTGCAAATTTCCATCGTATCTATCAGCAAGTTAAAATTTCCGATGAACTGTTGTGATAGTAAACAAAATTTAGCTACCTAATGATAACGACAAAGCGAAAGCCTAGGTATCTGTCGACTCTGATCTTTGAAGAGCACGCCGCTTCTGATCATTATCGATTGGACAGGTGCCGACGCGTAGTCTGTGACCCAGCTCCGATGCAGGACCTTCCCAGCTTAGGCGATCTAGTCATGTTCCTCATCCGTATCTGATTTGCTATTTAAAAAAATTCGTTTTGAAAAGCTACTGTAGCATTCACTGGTTGCTTTCAGACTTCAACTATTCAACCTGCGTGGTGCGCGCGAGCGAGCGAGCGGCGATCAGACGGCGGCGCTAGCCATCTGTTGACAGCACTGGCACGTGATCCATCAGCGTTCAATGTTGTCAACACCTGTCTAGCGCCGTGCGTGCACGCACGCAGGTTGAATCGTTGAAGTCTGAAAGCAGCCAATGCGTTCAGCGACCTTTACATGGCTTCTGAAGGCTTGGGCATGAGATGTTTTTGCGTTCT